GGGAAAGTCTTCCTTCCTCCAGACTTTCTCTGTTACCTGCAAAGTCTGGGTCTCTCGAGGACTGGCCCGAACAGTGAAGACAGAAGCAAAGAAGGCATTTAGCAACTCCGCCTTCTCTGCATCATCTGTCACCACGGCACCTGTCTCGTTCAACAGCGGGCCCACATTTTCCCTAGTTTTCCTTTTGTCTCCTATATACTTAATATATAACTACTCCTATATACCCTTCCTGTTGGCCTTGACATCCCTCGCCAGGTTCAATTCCAAGGCTGCCTTGGCTTTCCTTGTTTCCTCCCTGCATACCCTGACAGCATTCTTGTATTCCTCCCAAGCAGTCAGCCCCTTCTTCCACCTGAGCTTTCTCAGAAGCTCCGTGCTCAGCCAAGCAGGTCTCCTTCTTCCCTTGTTTGATTTCTTTCTCTTTGGGATGCACTGATCCTGAGCTCGGAGGAAGTGACACTTGAATAGCAGCCAGCTCTCTTGAGCCCCATTACCCTCTAGAGCCCTCTCCCATGGGATTTCTCCAAGCAATTCCTGTCACCCTGGGAGAAGTGACTTAGAATAAAGCAGAACACGAAGACTTTCCTCAAACAACATTAACTGGAATCAGTTGGAAAGCTGCTACTGACAACCTGCAAGAAGATAGTTTAAGGCCTTCAATACCAAACACTGGCTTTGGAAAGAATTATCAACATTAGAACATAGACAAAATATGCACCTAGTAAGGTTGAAGTAGCAATGGAGTTATCCCTATATGGTCATCTCTATACAGCAAGGAGAAAAACAGAGAACCACGTGCATATTGAAGAATAATGTCCAAAATTAATAAAAATTATATTTACCCTGATATTGTGCCATGTCCTTTGACCACAGAGTTTCTGTTCCATACTGAGTTTCATCATATAAAAACCTAACCTCTGTGGCACCTGCATCTTCTGCATTCTGTATCAGTTCCTGAGACAGAAAAAAAAAATAAAACCACCAAACAAAAACAAAGTATAATGTAGTGATATTGTACAGATTCTAGCAATGGCTTTCCAACTTCAACAGTAGAAAACAACATGCAATTCTCTTAAGTGTGATCATTTTCATACTTTTCAACCAAAATAACTTTATCCAGTTTACTTAAATGAAAATAGACATCATTATAAAAGGAATATTCAGACATATACTAGAAAAGTAATCTTAATTTGGAGCTCAAATACCACACACAAGCAGTACTTATAAATTTCAGAAATAAGCTACTAAACTGCTACTATTATATTATCCCAAATCAGAGTTGTACAAGTCTCAAAACAAGCAAGATGGCAGAAGAAAAAAAAATTAAAAATAAAATAAAATCAAAGTTTACTGTTAAGCCCACACAATAGCTATGAGACAACAGTGAGGCAACAAGTCATAAAAGGGCAATACAGAGCACTCTTTACATCAACTGAATTCTGTTTAAGTTAACAATTCACAGTATGAACCAACTGTTCAAAAGTCACAGTGCTCACTTCTAACACTCCTTCAGCAAAGGTCTGCAAAACAGTTCTGACTCCGTAAATCGTGAATTAACAGAGCTCACCTGTTGAATGAAGCCCACAGACTAGAAAGAGGCTTATGTTAAGATTGAGTATTTGTTAAACAGTATTAGTAGTGGTGAGAGCTATGGAAAACTCAGTGTCAATAAACTAGTTCTGTAAACACTACCATTATAAAATATGCCTGTCCGGTCCCATTTACATCCATAGCATTATACACTGCAGACACGTAAACATGATTATAAATACCTACAGGATCAGAGCTTCACACAATGGTCTGTTTACACTGAATCATCAAAGCGTATCACGGCTCCAAAGATACACACTCATACATACACATGTACACACGGGTGTATGTTTGTGGGGGTTCACGTAAGTTTGGCATAAGTATCTCAGCTGAATTGAAAAGCTGTGTAGGTACATCACTTCACAACCAATGTATTCATACAACATAAATTCCATTCAATTATGCATAAAGACAAAGTCTTGCTAGCAAGATGAATCTTTAAAAAATGCATCAACTAGCAGCAGATATTTCAGGTTAGGTTGCATTTTAATATACTGTTGACAGTAAAATAAGCTCATTGTTATCTAATATCAAAAATATAACCCCTCAATTTTTCACTTTGTGGCAGTATGTGCAGTCTATGAGGCATACCACACAAGTAATCAAAATATTATGTAGAAGTAACAATATAAACATTATTTTGAAGCAAGATGTGATAGCAAGAAATATACTCACAGTTCAGTATACATAATACATTTTTAAAGAATCTCCATGAGGTATTTAATTACAAAAAGCATGTAATCCTTCTTCTAAAAGAATAATTAAGGCAATCATTCAAGAAGATACAGGAAGATAGCCAAAGCCTCTAGAAATATGAAATAATAAGTATGGAAACCACCATGTAGTCAGAGATTTGAATTCATACGAAGCATCTGCTACATTCAGCTGTAACAGCATTGCATTTGAAGAATCCAAATAGTGAAATCCACTTTAACAGGTCAGCAAAATTTCTGGTAGTAATCCCTCCCTAACACTTTCTTAACTCTAAATTGTAAACCATGACAAGGGGAATGTTTCTACTTTTAGATTTACCTATTTGATTTCTAAGGACATTATGTTATTTCTTTGCATTGGAATGAAAAATCGGGTTTAAATTGTTAAGAAGGTCTGAACCCTTCATGACTCAAATGCATCTCATGGATTCATCTACTACTGGGAAATAGTAAAAATGTAAGCACCCATCCTATGAACAGACAGTGCTCAGAACATATCCAGGATGCAGTTTGCCAAAACAATTGAAGACATGCTTATCTTAAGCATTCACACGAAAAATAATCAACTTCTAGTTCCACGGTTGCAAAGAAAACCTTCCAAGGGACAGCAAGAACTCTCATCACGTGTCACCATTTGTACTGGTGTGTTTTATATATACAGATAGACATACACATATATCTGTATCAAATCCCATTAGTTAGAACCTAGTATTCCCATACACTAAGAAAATGAACCTCCTAACACCTGTGTGATGAAGCATTCTGCATGAGAAGTTTAACATTGAACTATGAACTAACCACCCCAAATGCTCTTCAAAAAAAAAACCACACACTGGCACTTCCAGACATTAGCACAGGAAGCTACAACAAATCAGGCAAATCATCTTCTGTAGGTACCTGTCTTTCCCCTCGTGGAATCTGACAAATTTAGAACAATCTGCATTTTTTCAGATCATAGAATCACAGAATGGTTTGGGCTGGAACGGACCTTTAAAGATCATCGAGTCCAACTCCACTGCCAAGGGCAGGGACTGTTGCATACTTTGAAGTCTCCTGGACCGATGATATAACACCATAAAGAAAACTAACCTCAGTTCAGAAAATCTTGTGACGCTCTTTTGTTAAAAGAACCAACGTCTAGACTAAAAATGTTTTTCAGCCCATACAGAACTGATGGGTTCATTATTCTTGTAACTCTAGAGCAAGTCTCGCAAATGCCACCCAAAGCGCTCTTAATCTAACGACGAAACTTTGTGACACTGTAAAAGTTCACTGAGGAAAATGTACTTAGCTACCCAGAAATTCTACAGCAAAATCTTGTATTAAAGTCTCCAGCTTATCCCAATCTTACACTAAGGCAATACCTCCCAAAAAATGTATATACCCTTCTGTGGTTTTACCATAGCTTATAGCAGAGATGAACAATAAAGTAACAAGCAAAATAAATATTTTAGATCGCTCGGTCACATAAAGTACACCATGAAGTCTCTGACTTAATTATAACATCTGCATCTCTATCTCTTTATAAATGACAATGGCACCTGTGACAAGCAAACTTAGACATTAAACACACACACATACACAAAAAAAGCCACACAACAAACTTTGCCTTGTCCACAGAAATGGAAACATGCATTTCCCCTACTAGAATAAACATCTAACAAGGTATGACAACTGCAAGATTTGCTGGAAAGTGTTACACTAATTGTATTTGGTCATACATACTAAATGACTGCCAAAAATACCATTTGTTGTATACCTTAAGAATCTGTCCTCCTTCTGGGTATCTTCTTAAAATATCCTTAAGAAAATCAACAAGTGGTGGAGTTGTTTGTCCAAAACGACCTAAAAAACAAACAAACACAAAATAATCTGTCTATTATGGTATTGTACACTCAAGATGCAGGCATAGCATATTTTGGCTCTAGTGTAGGCTTCCTGTTCTGGCATACTGTGGTGCTGGGCCTGGTGCTAGCTTTGGAGTTACCTGGGCTTAGCACAGGAAGGCAAAAAAAGAGTCAGCCAGGTACTAACAACCATTATGAAGTTCTGCTCTAAGACAAAGAGTCTATCTTCTATGACTCTATCACAGAATGAAAGGATCAATACTCTTCAATTCAAACTCCAGTCTAGGACTAAAGAGCAGCTCCCTAAATCCAAACCTGCAAAACATGTGCTTCAAACAAATATTAATGATGCAATCCCCACAAAGAAACGACTACTTATGCCCCACCTATCACTTCCCTTTAAAGTTTATTAATAATTATGCTGTCTCTCTCCCTCCCCTTCTGCATATATGCGTGTTTATAAATTACACAGATTCAAACACACACACACATTATATACATTACGCAATAAAACACTACCCACACAGAATCCTCAGCAATGTGGAAAAAAGGGGACAGATAAGAGACATCTATTTGCTGAGAAAACATCAAACATCTCCTCTCTACAAAATTTTCATATTGCTCTTTATTTAAGGTAACTTAATAGCATCAATTAGAAAAAAAAAATAAAACAAGAAATTGCAACTCGCAGCTGAAAGGGTGGAAAGTATTTTATAACTTTTGTTATTATTTTTACAGTACATAGAAGTATATGAAAGTCAACATGCAATACACAAACTTCCAAAATAAGGTGAACTGATCAACAGTAGGAAAGTTTGGGTGTTTCTTTTCTTAGGATAAATTCTCTAAAAATCAAGAAACCAACCTTCTCTAGGTCTAACTTGAGCAGACAGGCACAAGTGTTTAAACAACACATTTCACTATGGGAACCATAAAACCAGACAAGTAACTTTTAAGTGACAGGATGAAGAGAGACGTTATTCTAACTCTTTAGATCAGAGCTGTTCTATGTATGTCACAAAAATTACTCTATCTTGAGATCATGACTTACTGCATCCTGTCAAAGGCTAAACTGATTTTTCTTGAGTATTAGAGCTGCTCATATTTAACACAAAACTGGTTCCACAAATCTGACGGAGAAACTTTTTCCACAATAAGGACAATCAAGCATTTGAACAGGAGCTCAGAGAGCCTGTGCTGTCTCCATTCTTTGAGGCTTTCCAAACCGGACCAGATCAACCCTTGAGCAACCTGGTCTGACCTCAGAGATGACCCTGCTTTGAGCAGAAGGTTGGAGTAGAGACCCTCTGACATCCCTTCCAACATGGATTATTCTGCAATCATACAAAAAGATTATTCATTCTTTGACAGACACCAGTGATGAATGAATAGAGAGGTGATGTGGGTGATCTTCAGAATACTTCAGCAACCAAGGTGCTTGCCTCTACTGATCATGCACTTTCTGAAGTTCAAAATTCAAAGCCTTCCTGGATTCACCTGCTGTAATGAAAAATCTCACAACTGAAGGACTCCAGGATGAACACAAAAGACTGGTACTAAAGCCTTCAGATCTTTTAGACTGACTTACATCACAGTTGTGTCCCAGAAAAAGTTAAGTGCTTTATCTAGGCACAGACTGCTTAAAGTGATATCTCTAAGAAAATCTCACAGCCAAATATTCCATTCCGAGGCACAAAACACAGCAACAGTTTTTCCTTCGGGCTGCTACACTATCTTCTCCATATACTTGCACGGAAAAAAAAAGCAGCTCAGAGAAGATAAAAACTTTTTTATTTAGTCTCTAACAGCCTACAGACAGCAAAATATCAGAGCAAACAGTCAAGAACGAGAGAAATAAAAAATATTTGATCCCATAGAACCATGGGGTCCATTTCCATAGGTGTTTTCTAACCATTGCAGGTTCTAGAGAATGTGAACATGCACTTCTGGCTAATATACAAATGCTTCATTTCCCTCTGTTACTAGAAAACCATCAGCCAGTGCACTCACGGCTTACATAGGCCAAGAAATAGAACATTTTGTGCCACTAAATAAAATATCTGCATGAAAAGAAGGGTTTTCTTCTTCATCCTACTATCCCATTAGCATTTATTTCATTCCCTTATATTAATGCTAACAACCAAGTAATATAATCATTACAGATTTTAATTAGAGTATTTCTGAAGATATTCAGGTATCAATCTCATTCAAGATACCATATAAACAGATATATCTGCAAATTTTGTAATAAAAATGTAACTAAACATACAGAATAAAAAATAAAAAAACTCAGAAGAAATCAAAAGCTTTTTAACAATGGTATAGTTTCTACACTGAAAAGATATCCTTTCAGTATCTGTATTACTTACAAGTATTCAGCTATTTATATGAGACAAAGCAGCTATTAATACTACTGCAAGGCAAGTTTTATTGACTCCAAAGGACAGCAATATTTTAATTTCTACACATGAAATTACAAAGAAAAAATTAAACACCAGGGCACTTAAAAAGAGAGGTTTAATTTTCCTGGAGCAGAACAAAAAGAACAAGTGGACTTAAAAGAAAAATAATTGCTTTCCATTTCAAGAAGAGAATAATTTCAATTAACTCCACACTGCATTAGAAAATGCTTTGACCTTCCAGTTTATAAACAGACAAGTGTTTTTCTTACCCCCTCCTTTCAACCCTTTTGACTGAAGCTTCAGAAAAACTTGATTTTGAGAATTCTGAAGATCCACAATCTTGATACCATCAGATAACTGAAATAAAAAGTAAGACAGATCTTGATCAGAACATTCTGCAGCATAAATATTTTACTGTAGTTTCATTTCCTACATACTTATTCTATGAAGTCTGGGTTTATCTAAGAGTATACAAATACTCTGAAACATCCAGTATTCAGTTTGAGCAACACTTTCAGTCTAGGATGGCGTCCTTTGCCTAATGATACTCCTTAGACGAAGTATTAGTTTGTCAGCAACAGGACCAAAAAACAGCCAAACAAATCAGGTGGGAAAAATGCCTATAGAAGCATATGAAGAGCAAGCCATAGCCTCCCATTTTCACATTTGAGAAGTTCTGTGTTCTGGGAACTTCTGGGAAGTATACAACTATTGTTCTAAGGTGTGAGCCCATAAAGAAAATAAACATATACAGGAAGTATGTGGTGTATGTACTCCAAAAAGTACATATGGGTATGCAATTTCATTGGAGTTTTAAATGAAGGAGTATCAGCTCAAAGTAGCAAGTAATACAGAATGCATAGAGACAAAAGTACACCACAGAAAACCCCTGAAAAAATTGACAGCCTCATCTCCCCACTATTTCTACATGCAGACCTATGGATTCACCGGGAACACCGCAGAGAAACTGGGGCAAACTAAGCAACAAATTCCTTAGCAGCCACTGGGAAAACTATTTAGTAAACCTTATAGTTTTGTTGCAATTCTAGTTTCATACTAGATGTGATGTGATGCTACAGTAGTCATATACGATGTGATGTTATCCTGAATACCATGATAACAAAGGCAGAATTAGAAGTTCTGCTGTGCTAATTAGAAACTTAAGCAATTCAAGTTAGTTTCCATTTACAGTAAACTATATTAAAATTTTATCATGTGAAATTATATTATTATATTAGTCTCAGTTTATAGCAAAGTTCAGAACTACTTCCTCACTTTGATGGGTACACACAAATCACTAGAAAGAAGTTGCGGCTTACATAGGCATAGACGTTCACAATCTACCTACACTTAATAAGCAAAAGAGAGTCCTGGTCCACAGTGTGTAGTCATAATCTAAAAACATTGATAAGAAAAAAAGCTATATCCCTTTTTACTTAAGCCAGTTTTAAACAGTACTTACAACAACAATGTGTTTATTGTAAGTTCCTACAGAAATGTTATACTTGAGATGATCTTGTCTCAAGATGTAAAACAGCTTAAACTGGACATACTACCCACTCAGGACTCACTAAAATAAAAAAAGAATTAACAGAATGCTGTAACACATCATGAAGTATTAAAGGAATAGAATAACCAAATATTCTCAGGTAGGATTTTTGTAGCAAAACATCAGCAGAAACTAGGAGAATGAATAGATTCAAAGTTAACACTGCAAGGAACTATGAGAGAAACAGATACTGGATTTTACTTAACATCTGTAAATTGCATGTAGGAGCTTTAATGGAAAAAAGATTTTACTGATGAATATTCTACTACCTCAGTAAATTAAAAAAATAATCTGATCCCAGTAGACAGGAGTTCAAAAGTTTATAGAGGATTTTCAAAATTGCTACAGTACAAATAATCTCATATGTATTTTAGCTATTCTGATTTTTTAATATTAAACTATTACAGTCTGCTTACTGACTGTTCCCTGCCAAAAGATAGTTTTCTGTGCCAGACAGAGTGCTGCTCAGATCTTCACTTTCAGATGAATTTTAGAAAATGATACAGACCTCCTTCCTCCCAAAACAGGAAGGCCTGGAGAGAACAGTATCAAGGACACACAAAACCAGACAAGAAAACAAAAGATAAACTACACAGGCAGTTTGTTTCAAACCTGACCGCTCAAAGATTGCTTGTGTTCCCCATGTAGGTTCTTAAAAGCTTCTTGAGCAATACAACTACTAACATCTAGTTCTTTCCTAGCATCATAGAATGGTTTGGGTTAGAAGGCACTTTTAAACATCATCAAGTCCAACCCTCCCAGCACGGACATCTTTCACTAGAGCAGGTTGCTCAAAGCCTCATCCAACCTGACCATGAACACTACCCATGATGGGGCATCCCCAACTTCTCTGGGCAACCTGCTCCAGTGTTTCACCATCCTCCTCGTAAAACATTTCTTCCTTACATCCAATCTAAACCTACCTTCTTTCAGTTTAAAACCATTGCCCCCTGTCCTGTCACTACAGGCCTTGGTATAAACTCTCTCCCCATCTTTCTTACATGCCCCCTTTGTACACTGGAAGGCCACAATAAGGTCTCCCTGGAACCTTCTCTTCTCCTTTATGCATCTGCAAGTCCCCCTGTACTATTTAACCCTAATTTCCAACCTCCTCTCTCTCCCCTTCTTGCCTCTACTCATCCCACCCCACCAATACCTCCAGGTTCCCACTTCCCAGAAGCGTGGCCAGAAGCATGCCGAGCAGTACCAAAACAGTGACACCAGGCTGCTGCCTTCAACAGAACAAGGTCATTCCTTCATTTGACCCTCTCCCCTGTACCCAATTTTTAACTTGTAAGAGCTTCCTGTCATGGTAGCATCAACACTGCTGTTGAAGCTGGTGAGCAGGCAGAAAACCCAATTAAAGATCGAAAGGAAGGCAGAACAAGCACATCAGCACTCTCAGCTGAATCTTCTGCTCTCAGCTGAATCTTCAGCTCTCCTCCCTCCCTTTCCCCAAAGAAATAAGGATACAGCACGTGGATTATGCCAGGAAAAGACACAAAAACTCGAACTGCAGAAGCTGGCACCATCAAGAGGAGTACGCGGGTTAGCCGCTTCTCCAAACCACCTCCTCGCCTCCCACGACAGACTCCCACCCAAGGCCGCGCACACACCGTGCTGCCCACCCACCAGAAGACCCGGCAGGATGCTGCAGGCCGCCGGCTGGGGACCTCCAGCAGCGCGGCGGTGTGAGAGGCCACCGGAGAAGCGGAGGTGCCCCCCACCCCCTCACCCCC